GAGTCTCCGGTTTACTGGTCCACTTTCCATCCATTTGTCAGGAGGAGCCTGCCGTGCACGGCCAGGGTCTCTGGACGTGTCACCAGATACTGCTGGTGAGGGCTCTGGAACAGGAGCATCTTTGTGATGTCAGAGTAAGGTTCTCACTCCAGAAGAAGTTTCTCAAACAGAGCAACTCTTTTTTCCAAGTAAAGGGAAAAAGCTCCTTAGTTTTCTGCTCCAGAAAAAGGATGACCACAACACTCAGACTGGAGCCTTGACATAGATCGAGGAAACTGTTGTCTTCCATAAACGGCATTGGCAAAAGGCAGCCTGATGTAAATAAACACTCAGATGTGTAGGGGAGTACAACTCTGAACTCCTCTACAACATCCCACATCTGCGATAGCTTTTCAATTAGCCGCAATTGTGGTGGAAACATGGGTGCCTTAACCTCGGACATCTTAGTTTATTTCTAAATTGGTATCTGTGAATTGCTGGGTCGTGTGGATTCCATAGCTTTGTGGGGGGCACAGTTTGTAGCTTTTCCACCTGGGTCCTTACTTCTGATATTTTATCATCTATTCTCAAGTTCTGTTTCATTCTTCTGATGGTTTTTCCACTGTTGGTTTACACTGGTGCTTGCTTCAATAAAACAGCGAATGTGAACTAATCTGTAATAAACAGAACGCCAGCTCTAGGGTTTGATTTATATTAACATCACTAAAATAAAATAACCTATACAAAATTAGATGTCCAAACAAAAGAAAATAATTATGAATTTCAAAGTAAAGGAATTGGAGTATTATCAGGATGATGAAATGAGCTGATTAGAGGCCTGTTTGGAGATGGTGGGAGCTTTGTGGAACCGGGAGAACACAGCTCTCTGAAGCCTTATGCAGGCTGGTCGACCCCTGTAAACACAAGCACTTAAATTGTGAGATCATCTAATACAATCCGGTTCACATTCTGCTCTTCTGGCACCCCCCACCCCCCCACACCCCTCTCACAAACCCCAACCCCACCCCAGCCCACTTCCCTTCTCTCTCCTGCAGTTGGCAGCAAAGTAAGAAAGGATACTCTGTCGCAGCATTATCTTGAAAAGCACAGAGGGGGATGGGGGACCCTCATGGACATATTGCTTATAGCGCACAAAACCTCCAGAGAGGGAGGGGAGAGAGAGCAGGAACCAAGATGGAAAACACTGAGAATAATGCATAACTCTGTCTGTCTATCTATCTATCTATCTATCTATCTATCTATCTATCTATCTATCTATCTATC